GTCTCCCCGACTTCCCCGACTTCGGCCCCTCCTCCTCCTCCTCCTCCTCCTCCTCCTCCTCCTCCTCCTCCTCCTCCTCCTCCTCCTCCTCCTCCTCCTCCTCCTCCTTCTCCTCCTCCCCCTCCCCCTCCTCCCTCCTCCTCCCTCGTCCACGTTGTGGCCGTGGCGGTTCGGTGCTGGCGTCTGCTCTGCTCGATCGCTGGGCCTCTGGGGCCGGCTGTCGGGCCCCAGGAGGCCACAGGAGGCCACAGTCTCGACAGGGCCCCAGGAGGCCACAGGGGGCCAAGAGGCCCCAGGAGGCCAAGAGGCCACCAGGAAGCCCCAAGCGGCCCCCAAGAGGCCCAAAAGATCCCGCAAGGACCGCACAGAAGTTCGAAAACGCCCTCGAAGGCCTCCAATCGGGTGTTGCTAAAAGTGCCCCTGGCCCAGGGTAGCCCCCAGAATTCTCGGGGAGGCCCAGACGGCCTCCAGAGCACCCCTCACGAGCCCCAGAGGGCCCCAGGGGCCCAAAAACGGAGCGAAAAGCTGGGGGCACCGTGGGCCATCAAAAGTGTCAGCGGCACCGAGGCGGTACTCACTGACGGGTACTTTGGAGATGTGCCGAAAGTTGTGCCACTTTGGGGCCTGCTTATGGCACTGCAGTGTTGCCCACATCGTGGAGGGTTGGGTTCGCCGGGGCACTGGCCAAAGTACCCGTGAGTGGAGTCCCCGTTAGAGGGGCGCTGAAATTGATCCTGGAGAGAAAAAAGTACCCCCAGGGAAAGGGTACTCCCAGGGAAGGGGTCGGGGTTTCGGGGGCCGCGGATCGAAGGAAGCGTGTCGTCGGATGTCGCTGTCGGGGAGCCGTCGTCGGTCCTCGTCGGCGCGGGCCCCTGAGATCCAGGTGGTGCAAGTCTTCACACTCGGCGTTTTCGCTGGGCCTCGGGACCCAGGACTATCACGGATCGATGCGGCTGGAAACATGTTACAGGAATGCAGATTCTAGGGCTCGGGTCGTGATTTGCTCCGCGATGTTGTATGCTTTTTCGCGACGTCGGGCCTCAGAGATCGTCGTCGTCGTCGGCACCGTCGCCGTCGGCTGGTGGTGGTGGTGGTGGTGGTCGTCGTCGTCGGGCGTCGTCGTCGACTGGCCCTTTCGAACACTTCTGCTGTGAGAACACCGCGCTGGGTTTCTAGAGTTTTCCGCCCCGGGGCCGCCAGAGCACGACTCAGGAAGCAAAGCCGGCCCCCCGGAAAAGGTCCAGACCTGTGAGGGACCACGACATTAGTTTCCTCTGGCGTAGAGACCCGGAACACAAAGGCTGCATGATACAGTGGAGTTTGATTCGTAGGACGGCCCTGCCAAATCAAGGGTGCCCGTGTGTCCTGTGTTTCGCGGACCATGCTTTCTGCATTCCCCTGGCAGCGTGGCCTCTGGAGAGGTCTCGTGTCCTCTCGCGTGTCCTCTCCAATCCAACTCGACTGTATGACGCATGGTCGGCCGCCCCCTGAACTTCTTCGCATCCTGTAAACCTGGCACAGCACGGAGGGGGAGGAGGAGGAGGAGGAGGAGGAGGAGGAGGAGGAGGAGGAGGAGAAGGAGAGGAGGAGGAGGAGGAGGAGGAGGAGGAGGAGGAGGAGGAGGAGGAGGAGGAGAGGGAGGAGGAGGAGGAGGCACAGAATTTGTCCGCAATCCGAGCACCAAGCAGGGCATGCGGCACACGCCGTGCGGGCACGTGCATAGCCCCGGCAGTGATTCCGTTTGCTTCCCTTAAGCCGAGGCCGCACACGGCACCGCACGGCAGCGGCAGCGGCAGCGGCAGCGGCAGGGTGTCCGCCCTGTCGAAACCAGGCGCGGCACTCGGGCACGGCACGGCAGCCGCCTCGCATCCATGACACCAGTAGGGGAACAACAAGTGGCATAAACATAACAATTCGGAGGTCCGCGCGGATTGCTCGGATCGGCGCTGGGGCCCCCCTGGCGGCGCCTCCGGCGCCGATCCGAGAAGTCCGCGCGGACCTCCGAGTTTGTATGTTCATGCCACTTTTTGTTCCCCTAACCCATGACTCATGGCACGGCACGGCACGCGCGCGCGGCACGGCAATGGTTCCGCACTGTCGAAAACGAGGCACGGCTTCGGCATGCGGGCAC